ATATAAAAGCTTATACATTTATTTTTAAAATATTTCTATACCCTCAACAGGGTAAATTAAGTTTGTTGCGAAGTCTATAGTAATTAGAAGGAAACATCGGATACATCAGCGCTACGAGCTTAGTTAATTTAGCCGTGCTGGTCTGTCTCAGGCATATACGCGAACTAGTCAATCTGTTTTTGAGATATCGATCTGAAATTTTGCATGCGTTCGTTTCTTCTTTAGAAGCTGCTTACGTTTGTAATGGCCGATATGGGGCCACTATTGTAACTAGTTGCCATATAAACTGAACGGTTAAATCCGGATCTTGTAAGCAAAACTTTTTTATTTGCCAAGATTTCTTCATAAGAATTGGGCCACATTATTTTCCAAGACTTGACTATAATCTCTGAAGAAATTTTTGCGATCGGACTACTATAACATATAGCTGCCATACAAATAGACCGTTTCTAGTAAAGTTGATGTATGGAAAACTTTTTTCGTTGACAAGATTTCTGCACCAAATTCGACACATATTATTTTCCAAGACCAGACCATAATCTCTGAAGTACTTTTTGTGATGGACTACTTTAGCATATAGTTGCCATACAAACTGATCCATCCAAATCAAATTTTTATATTGAAAACTTTTTTATTTCACAAGATTTTTTTACCAAATTCGGCTCAAAATATTGCCCATGACAATTCTATAATATCCAAGTGATATTATTTAGATCGGATAGCTATAGCATATACATACCTGCCATACAAATTGAATAATCCAGATCAAGTTGTTGTATGGAAAACTTTTTTCTATGACAAGATATCTTCACCAAATTTGGCGAGGATTATTTTTCAAGACTAAGCTATAATTTCTGAAACTACTATAACATATAGCTGCCATACAAACTGACCGAGCAATTCGTTCAGATCGGATATTTACATCATATGCCTGTCATGCAAACTAAACGCTCAAAATCAAGATAAAGATCCTTTTATAACATTCCATGCTATAATAAACGCAACTGTGAAGGGTATTAAAGCTATTTTTCATATATCATAGCTCTCGATCCCAAACGATCGCATTGGGCTGAGAAATTGCCGCAAAAATTGCATAATTCTGATCTTTGATCAAATTTACTTTCGAAAAAACCTGATGATTCAGCGCCTAAATCAATAAGCCTGACAGCATCAGGCTCTTTGGCATGCGCATTTTAAAAGCAGATCAAAAACCATAAGCACAACAAATATCAACAGAGCGAAAACATTGAAAATCTATAAAAAAAAAAAAATTAAATATAATTGAAAAAAGGTAATGTGAAGATTGAACACCCAACTCCTGGGAAAAGGACACTTGGCGACTCCAGCACAGCACACACACACACACGCACAAGCATATATTAAAGGTAAACACACAGCGCACAGCCCGCCAATTTCCCACGTTCGAAACGCGCTCTCCGTTCGAATCGTGCGCGATCGGTGTTGCGCGATTGTTGGCCTTGTCGTGTTGATGTTCTTGTTGTTGGAGGACAATATGGCAGATAGTTGTCTGCAAGGTATGTATGCGCGCTGAGCCTTCACAATACCCAATTGTGATGTGCAATGCTGCGGAAAGACCGCACACTGTCTGTTCGACTAACAGTCAGTCACTCAGCGAGACAATCACACAGTCAGACAGTCATTCAGTTAGGCCGTCAGTCATCGCGTTAACATATTTGGCAGTCATGCACTTCAGCCACTGCTGGGGCTTAATAAACCGATTTTTTTTTGCATTTACTGGTCTACAGTTCATTGAATAGTTTCAAGCATCGATGCGGATTGATATTTTGCTTGGCGCACATACATACACACACACACCTTAAATGTAAATATGTAAACATAACTGTTTATCTGCGTCTGCGCAGCTTATTTACCTATGTTGTTGGAAAAAAAGTACTATAATGGCCTCTTCAAGCGTAAATATAACAGAATCATCCTGAGGCAGGACATTGCAGGATATTTGATAGCGCTCTACAATTTTCGATGATTACGCAAGATTTCCCATAAATTCATATTTTTATGCGCCTCAGTAATCTATCGAAAATGTGTATGTATGTATGTGTGTTCATTTAGCGCTGTGAGAAATACCTTTCGCCGGTATAAAAGCCGGCAGTCGATTGCGACTCATCATTGTGATGGGTTTCTGTCATTGCGCCTGCGCGTCTCATTTGAATATTTCGCTGCTTCACACTTTTGTCGCAGGCAAACTAAGAAACCGCCTCGACATTACTTAGCAGTTATTGCGCTGTCATATGGCACACCGTGTTGTCTCTGATATACAAGTATGTGTGCTATTACTCCCCTCCTTTGGTGCCTTGGCCAATGCCATATGCTTTGCATGCTTGGACGGATACGAAGATTATAATGATCAGAAGACAGCGCGAGGGAAATAGAGAGCAGAAAAAAGGAATTTGAAAACCGTTGGCGGCATATATACACACGTACATACATATATATAAATGTGTGGTGTCTGTAAATATTTTCCTACATAAATTTACTTATTTGGGACATTGCTGTTAGTAGCTACTTTATGTCCTGTGCGCTTAATGACTGCCAGTGGGATTGGTTCTCACCATATACCACCACACATGCATACATACATATATACACACTTCCACATATTTACGCACTTATACATACACATAAGCATACTGGCTTGAAATTTTCATAAGACACCAACAAAACTGTTACCTTATGTGGACAAGTAGGAAAATGCTTAAAATGCTTTGCTGCTTTCAACTACGTTCATTAATTTTATTACTTTCCTCTATGCCATTAATGGTTGTTCTATACATATATACACACATATGTAGATATGTTGCATGTTGTTGCAGGTCGTTTCCGGTTTGCCCGTATTTGGACTGGTTGTGGTTTCGGTAGTGTCCCGTTTGAGCAGATCAAAAAAAAAAATTTAAGATAATTTTATAACGGTTTCTTATTGTCTGTTTGTATGCCGAAAGGATAACTTGCGGTATCTGCCACATAAACTGGATAATTTATAGTGCTTTATTCGATCTTGTCGCATATTAAATGCAATTAACTCTATCATTAATTTCAATATTTGTTTAGATTTATGTAAGTACGCATGCGCTTGAATAAATTTGAAATAAGTGGCATGAGGAAAAATATATACTTATATGTATGTACATGCTTTCGAAATAAAAGCTAAATGTTTTATACATAACTGAGTATTTGTTAATTGGTCAACAATGTTTAACGAAGCATTGCATATCGAGCATGAATTGGTCTCTGCGCTTGATTGATTCAACAGAAACACCTCAACCCAAAGACGTCGCTAACTTACTACTTCATTTCATCAAAATATTTCCTCCAACAGAGTTAAAAGATATGAAATATAAACTTTTTAGCAGAGCGGCAATCATTTTCTGATTTTCAAAAAGCAGATCCCTTAATGAAAGGATTTTCGAATATGTTTTACTATTTCCCCAACAGTTGGGCCTACGTAAACGAAGTTGAACAACAATTATCATACATAGATATTCGTGGAGTATGTCATACTGTATATAAAATAAATATAAAAAAAGCTCGAAATACGCATCAGATGCAATAAGAGCTAATACAAATATCAGATCTAACCATCGCCGACATCACGACTTACGATCACATAATATTGTGACAATATTCAGAACATAAATATCAGCAAAATCATAGAATACCATCAGTTCTTGCACTCTGCAAGCACATTTCAACTCAAAGTTGATCGGAATAATTATTATTTAATTTATTCAACAGCCAGTGCCTTACTTTTTATAATATAATATATGTCTTTGTTGTTGTGGCTGTAGCGGCGCAAAACATTTCTGAAGTAATTTCGAGGAATGGTGTCGAATTGGCAGTTCGTTACGATTACTTAGACACGACTGTCATAGGAACGGTATATTATTTTTGCCGAGAACATCGCAAAAGGTTGTATCCACTCGAGAATTTCAAAAAACTTAATCTTGAAAATTTTCACCGAACATTTGAAATTGATCTGACAAATAGTTTCAAAGTGAGGAGCATATTCGTCAGAATTTTTACTTAGTGTAATCAGCTCCCAAAACTTAGAACCCTGTTTTCAGTGTCGCTGGTGAAAACTACCCCGAAACTCTACTGATCGAATTAAGATCCCCCTAAGATATATTTTTTAGGTAATAATCGAGGGACTATGTTTCTTGACAACTATTTTTCGGTTCGATTTTGATAACGATTTTTCAATCCACTCAGAGATTATTTACTAAAACCGATTTTTGTTTGGAAAGCAGCAAATTTTTTACTGCAGTACATTTCAAGTTTACGTCCTTACAAGCCAGACAATTCCAGGGTCAATAGCAAAGTAGACAGCCAAGCAGCAATGAAAACAGTATTGCATACCGGGAAGCAGGGCAGCAGTAGAAAGTGTAGCTAGAAGCAAGCAACTTCACTTCTACTGGGTTCAGGCCACAAAGGCATCGATGGCAATGAAATTGTGGATGAGATAGCCATGAAAGGTACGGCTAATACCCGAAAACGTGATCAACATTGGGAAACCCATGCATTATCTATACGACGATCTGAGCAGAAACAAGGTAAAGAAAATCAAAATCCGAAGGAACAAGCTACTTGGGTGCAAAACTGCAAATGTCATATGCAAACGTCAGATCGGAAGTACACAAAATTTCTCCTCGCACTCGATAGAAGAGACTGTAGGAACACAATCGGAATACTATACTGGTCACTGTTTAGTGGCGAAAACAGGATCAGGCCCGACACACGATCGCAGAAAAGGGCTCACAGATCGCAGGAAATGTCTAGAGCAAGTCACCAGGGAAACAATGGAGCATCTCTTGTGCATTTGTCCCGCATTGTCAAGAATACGCTGTAAACATCTGGGGTCGCCACGGTATGATAAAATGGAGGATTTCAATTAAACTCAAGAATAAAACACAGTTTATTATAAATGAATAATTTTATTTCAGATTTTATCAGTACAAATGTATATGTATATTTATATATGTAATAATTTTAACTATGATTTAACCAAAACCGATTTAATGATATTTCCATAAACTTAATCAAATGTCTTCCGAGATAACTTAGCGGTAAATGTTTGTTTTGCTTTTTTTTACTTGTTTATAACACTGGCATTAACTAAAATAATTGTTAGAGTTAATATATATATATACTTATATGTACTGGGTATATACATAAATATGTACAAAGAATTAACTTAGTGGAATAAATTTAAGTGTAAAAGTGAAGATAGCCTTATTTAAAGAAGTAATTCGAATCATTTTCGGAAAATGTAAGCGTCATCAACAATTTTCGCAGCAAAGCGAAGAATTTCAAAGAAATTTCCCCATATACCCCAACACAACAACAACAATTGGGTGGATTCTACAGCAATGCCACACCACCTTCCGATTTGGGTGTATGTGCCTCCCACCAGTCCAACACCTCGATGATATTCTCGTCCGGCAGCCCGCTTATCGCGTCGCTGGCATTTGCTGTTGCCGCCACATCGAGCAAGGCGTGCTGATATTCCTTCTTAAAGGACATGTGCGCGGTCTCATAGAAAGCGTTATCCGCGTCATTGTCGTAGAATGATGGCAGGCCCGGTGTTGTGGGGGTTGTAGCACCGTTGGGCACAAACAACAATGTTGGCGATGTGCTTGCACTTGTTGTTAACTGCGACGACGGTGTGACACTTGGCCGGCAACGTTCCAACGGTGGCGACATTGTGGACAAAGGCGCGTGACTAAGTAATAAACGGTGTTGCAATTGCTGTTGTTGTTGTTGGAATACCATTGCACCGCCCGCGGACATATGCTTGGACGAAGACGCCGAATTGGAGGGGACAAAGTCGCTTAATGTATCATTGCATTCCTGTTTAATCGCGTGCGGCGAAGGCAACGACAGCATTGTAGGGGTTGCCAATGCCACGGCAAACCGTTGGCGTTCGTTGGCCGTGCGGCACTCATTACCATCGACTTCATCGGCGGTGGCACTCGTTGTGGCACACGTCTGTAATAAAAGTGCATCATTATCGGCAGGTGATAAGTTGGACGACCCCTGCGTTGGTGTTTGCGGCTGATATTGTTGGTGATCTTGTTGCTGTTGTTGTTGATGTAATATTGTGCGCTGTGTTGGGGATGATTGCACCGGCGATCGCGATAATGTGTTGGCAACCGCTACATTTACACACTCGTCGATCAAGTCCCCAGCAGGACGGTGCCGTTGTTGTAATGCGGCTGTCGCGCCTACCAGCGACGCTGCAGTTGTGGCAGGTGCAGCGTTAATTGACGTTGCAGACGATGGCGAAATGTGCGGCGATGATGTTGTTACCACAGGACTTAGGCAATTAGTGTCGATTATGGTTTGAAAGGACTCATCATCGAGACTGGAGTTTGGCGGCGAATGCGGTGCGTTGCCCATGAAGAGTGCGTCCGGCGTGAGCAGCTGATAGGTATTGGTGCCGGGTATGCGTATATACTGCATGCCATTGATAGTCGTTAGACTCGGTAGTAGATCCATTTCGTAGGCGTCTGCATCGGTTGCGCCGCAAAGGTCTGATTGTGAGATCGTTTGATTGTTGCCAAAATCGGTGCTATTCAAATATTCGTTGACATCATAGTTGCTCAGCGAATCATCGAAATTGGTGTCATCCCGTGGTGGGGAGAGCGCATCGAATTCGTCCTTAATGAATGTAAAGCTATCATCACTTGACGAACCGCCATGCATGAGCGATATTCCACGATCGCTGCCGATGGGGAAGTTAAAGCCGAGTAGATGCTCCAAATTGCGTATATACTCGACAGCCATGCGCAGCGTTTCTACCTTGCTGAGCTTCTTCACCGTGCCACGTCCATTGCCTTGCGCCTCGAAAGCTTCGGCCACCTCCTCGGGTATGCGTTCACGCAGTGCTGCGAAACCGTTATTCACTTGCTTAACGCGATTGCGTTCGCGTGCATTGCGCCGTGCCACCGCCTGTGGTAGCGGTAAGCCTTTGCGTCCGGGTGTGCCAGCAGGTTTCTTCGCACCGGGCGTATTTGGTTTTGCACGGTTGGGATTTGTGGCGGCAGCTTTTGTGGCCACGGCTTTGGTTGGCTTTTCACGCGCATTCTCATCTTTATTCGCGAGTTTCGTGCGCTTATTGGGTACTTTAGACTTTTCCGTTTTGCCGTCAGTTGCTTTAGCGTCCGTTTTTGCTTTAGCCGCCTCGCTGGCCGTGCGTTTGCGTGCTCCAGTCATTGTAGTGCTCAACGCGCCTGCATTATTTACGCTCGCATACATGCCGAAATCTTTGATCTTCCGTACGATCGTGTTGACGTTGCTGTTGTTGCTGATATTCAGCGCATTACCGCTACTCTCACTCAACACATTTTGCATGGTGATGCGACTGAAGGACTTGCCAAGACTGATGGTGGTACATCCACCATTACCGTTGTTGGGTGCATTCTCATCGCCGGTGGGCGTGGTGGCACCGGTATTACCACCACTCTTGCTGTTGTTATTTTTGGTGCTCATCTTTTGGCCTTGCGGCACGTTATAGCTGAGTATGCTCAGCGCCATACGCAAGCCGTGTGGGCGCCACTGATTGGGGAGCTGCTAATTAGCGCACGTGCCCACCTTAAAGATGCTCTTGACGTTTCCTTTACACACTGGACAATGGACACTTGCCGCTTTTGTTATTTTAATGATATTTTATGCAAAAATATTTTTTAAAATTCAGTTTATTTATTTTCCCGCCACAACCAGCACGTTCACTGGCCCGTTTGGGAATACACCGTTGCAGCACTGACGAATTTTCACAAAGTACACCGAATTTTGAATTTCTCATTTGTCTACGCACAGTCGCTGTACGCCGTTCGTTGCTAGAGAGGTGAGTGTCCTGATCCTGTTGGTAGGACAGCTGCGTTGCTTGTGTTGTCGCGTGCCCGATGTCTTGCAATGAAATGTCATGGGGCGTCGCTCGCAACAAACGTCCTACCTTGCTTTGCCACACACCGCAGCATACAAAACACGGCATAGCAACGTCAGTTTGGGCAGCGCTGCTTTGCTCGGTTGGGCAGAATACAGGGCGAGTCGTCAGTCGAAAATGTTTAGCATTGAATTCTATTCATCTATCCATCCACCAAAAAATGCAGGAAATGACTTCGGTGACTGTTGGTGTTGTGGCACAATGCCAACACATACATGGGCGAGACACACAGAAATAAAAACAAAAAAAAAAAAAAAAAAAACGAAAAACAAAAAAAAAATTATCCTGGCGCTCTACCTCTCTGCTAACGTCAGCGCGTATTGATCGTCTACACGTAACAGTGTTGGTGTGTATGTAAAGCACTTTAATAACACTAAGGTCTGCTGCAAAACAATACACCGTAAATTGAATTTAGAGAGACACAACGTCACACACACACTCACACCCATGCATATGAATTGCACAATAAAATTGAATTGAGCACTTATACAAACATACCTTAGCGTCGTTCCTAACGTTACACATGCGCAGCGCTGAGCGCAGCAGCAGCACGTCACCTCAATGCGCTTGCGCCAATGTGGCAGTGTGTATGTGTGTTAGTGCATGTTTTCAACCCCTAGCTTGGGTGCCGGCACTAACGCTTTATAGCACCATATGCAGCTACTAGTCTCCCCTTGCCATAGTTTAGCCTTATTCGCGTACATATTGAAGTTGGCTGCGGTTGTGCGGCCGCCTCCCAATTGTGCGCGCCGCCATTGCCGCTGCTTTTGGCTCTGCTGAGAAAACTAACATCTGATTTTGTACACCTCTCCGCTCACCTATGCATTATTTTCTCAATTATTAAACATATGTGTGCTCCTGCATATGTATGAGTGGCTAGTGCGCCTGCCCTAGGGGTGGCTCAAACCCGATTGTATATCATTATAATACACATATACCATATATGAGTGTACTTATGCACAAAGGTATGTCAGTTAATGTTAATACCCACCTTTATGGTTTATGTGCTCGTGTTTAATTATACTGCACCCGAGGTAATAGTAAGAATCGGAGAATGTATATAAGAATATATAGCATGTCTATATATTTTATGGATATACTACATCGAATTCGTTAATTTTACATACCCCACATATATATATATACATATGTACGTATGGTAAATATGTAATTCGATTTTGTGATGGAACCGAAACCTTTCATTGCAGTTGGTCCCCATAGCATAAAGGAGCTGCTCCGCAAGGATGAATCAGTAGACAGGAAGAAGCATTGGCAAAAACTCCTAGGCATACACCATGCCAAGTTGTTAATGGGTGGTTACAACCTTAAAAGGTTTAAATATGTAATCAACCTTCCAAAAGGTCAACCTCAGGCTATTTCTCGCCTTCTAGCTTCTTGTGCGAATTGCCAGTTCTGCGACTTTTAGTCTGAAATTCCAGAACACGTTAATTGACTGCACAGCATGTTGGATCTATGTTTCGAAATAAGAATCACAGTCTTAGTAGCACGTATAATATATTGGAATTTATCAATTTGCTAGGGCTAGGTGAGTCGTTGTGATTTAGGGTAGGGTATAAGGACCTAACGTTGCGGTGCAATCCTCATTACCTAGTCTAATTAGAAGACTCCATAAAACATTGCCTAACACAAGATCAGATCATTGCAAAAGTCCCTAAATTTAATATGAATTGCATTTGGTAAGAAATATAAATATTAATTATGAATATCTTAGAAATAATTCGGTTTCTGTAAAGCCTCAGTACAATAACCTCTAATATAAACCTGTGGGATCAATTTCCAATCGTCATACTTTTAACGTGAGTGATCCGAAACTAGAGCAATTAGGTCTTACCTATAAACAACTAGAATCTCGAGTTTAGAGATTTCACTGGAAAAATATGCAAAGCAGGGATATGACAAAAGAAAAAAAGAGATGAATCTTAAACGCCTATCTTGGTTAATAGAAAAAGCCCTTGACTTCTCCGTCGACTGGGATCATTATCTAACGGTCAACTCTAGGAAAACAGAAATCTCTCTTTTCAATAGGAGGATGAAAATTTCGCTATTCAATCTCCGCTCCTTAATGTGGAGAACTATTTTACTCTCGAGCTCTGTCAAATATCTTGAATTTTTCTCTGAAGAGAGCAGTTTAAAGCAGGGCTCTGAAAGTGCTTCGATGCAATAACTCTTGCTGAAGAACCATTTCGCCAACGTGAAGCTTACGACCTGTCATGATACTAATATAGGGTGGATGGTATTATCGAAAAAAAATAAAATTACATCAACAAAGGCTTTGGAGGTCAATCTTAATATCCGGCCAATACATATTCAAGCGAACTATGAGGCAATGCTTAAAGCTAGCCGGTTTAGATTTGTAGGCTATTGAAACCAAAGTAGGCGTCAATACGGCCCCGGTATCATACTCGGTCTTGTTAACGAACTCGGGCTATATTGACAATGCGTCCAGGAAACGAATGTCCATGAAGAATTTACCTGTAAATACGAGTACAGATTTTTCATTTCCCAGTAAAAATGACAAGATCAATGACTGTCTGTGATCAACAGTTTCAACGCGAAATTTAAATATTCACCGATGAATCAAAGGGTGAAATAGAAAAACAGCGTGCTTCTACTGAAGTAATTGAAGTAACGCAGAAAGAAGCTTCCAACTAAATGTCCACAATGCAGTCTTTCAGGCCAAAAAGCCGCTATCAAAGGCAGATCAAAAAACTTCTACTTATCGGTAAAATGAACTGGTAGAAGTCGCCTAAAGGTACCTATCCCTAACCTACAGAAAATTGTATTCGGCGGAAGGCAAAGCATGTGCGGCAGAATATGAGATGCTGGAACATCAACTGTGCGAATGTCTAACCTTCAACTTATTCTTCTTTATTGACGTAGACACCGCTGAATGGCGCCAATGGGAGATTCCAATTGTAGCCAGGTCCTTCTCCACCTGCTCTTTCTAACGGAGTGGTGGTCTTCCTCTTGCCTTGCTTCCACCGGCGGGAACTGCGTCGAATACTTTCAGAGCTTCTTCGAGTATTTCAGTGCTTTATGTCCTATCAGCCCGTTAAGAAAGTGATCCAACTAGAAGAAGATAGTATCCGGATTTCTTTGAGAAGTGAATATTCAGAATTCTAACAAAAACGGATCGCGATATTAAAGCTATCTGTGATAAGCTATACAATTATCCCACACTCTCGCAAAATAAATGTTGAATATAATAATTCAATAGTTGCGTAAATCGTGTCCCGACGTGGCCACTTATTCTCAGACGCAGCGCAAGAAAAAAGGTGTGCGAATAAGGAAGATCAAAAATAGCTGCGCTTCATTATCTATATGGTATTGTTGTTGTGCTGTTTCCCTGAAGTTGGTACTTACAAAACAATTGTTTGCTAAAATTTATTTATTGATTGTTTTTATTGTTTTATTGCTGTTTGAGTGCAATTTTTCATTTTTACCGGCAAGCGTGCATGATTTCGCATTGTTCGGCTGTGATGAATGAAAGCGACTAAGGAAGCAAACTCAATTGCCATAATTCTTAATTAACGGTATAGAGCCTTTGAAATGAAGTCGAAGTTTTAAAGAAAAAATGCGAACTTCCTAAGCATTCTAATTAATTGCGAATTGTGTGGCAAAGGTGGCAAATTGCACGCAAGGCGCTTTGTGAGAAGATAAGAAAGGACAATGGCAAGAAAATGGAATGCTCGAAGTAGGGTGTGGCGTCAAAGAAAAGAATAAGTAAGAATTTCCCAGTACAAATGCACAATTTTGCTTATTGCCAAGATTTATGTGCAATATTGTTTTTGTTATTGCAGTTGCATAATTGTAATAAATCCCAATTAAATTTGACAGTCGCTTTAAAGTGGGTTGGGCAGTTGGGTGTAATTAGGGTGGGCATATCACTCAACTAAGAGTGTATGTTTCGTTGTGCATATGCTTAGATGCATTCTATATATGTATGTATGTTTGTATACATGTATGTATAGTATGTCTGTATATCTGTATATTAAAATGTGCGCATGTTTGTTCTGCGGAATTTTTGAAGTGTCCTGTAATCGGTATGTTGCTTTTTTGTACTATAGTTTCTTTATTGTCTTGTAAAATAATTACAACAACAACACCAGCTAATATATCTGCGCTGGAGTTGTTGTTGCGCGCGAGTAAGGGAACAATTTTGATATCAGTGATCGCGTTTACGCTACAATAACTCTCAGATATTTTTTTTGTACCCATGCACAATATGTTGGTTGGGTTGTTCTGGTTGTCTTCAAAAAAGAGTTATTAATAACAGCGAAAATCGAATTGGGAGAGATATATACATAGAACAGAATTCTCAAAAAATTAAAAGTATTTTTTTTTTTTTTTTGCTTAAAGCACACTTTAGAGGCGTAAAACATTCGATAGTGAAAATTATTAAAAAAAAAAAATTTAAGAAAAAATTTTCTTTTTAATCTCTTGCATTCTCCAAATATTCCGGCCGCAACACTGTAACTCGGGCTTATTCTTGAGATATCGGACTGAAATTTTGCAGAAAATTTCATTTGTAGGAACCGATATCGGACATAATTACATATAGCTCTCATAGAAAATCGATCGGACTGAAGTCATTGTATGGGAAACTTTTTCATTTGACGAGATAACATCACCAAATTCGACGTGGGTGAAATCCAATTCAATGAGAAAATTTTCAAAAAAAAAATTATTCAGATTGAGTCACTATGGGATATAGTGTTTTTACGCCTTTTTTTGTTATAATTTTTTTAAAACCCCGAACGCCTTAAATTATAGTCCCGAGAAGAAGCCTTCCAGAAAAAAGTAATCTCCGGCAGCCGCTATTATGGCTGAAAATGTCAATACAGAATTTGTATATACACTGAAAAATACGTTTAGTTAAAGCTGGAAGAGAGAAATCCGATTTATTTTTCCTTACTTTCTGAAGCAACCTTCAAA